ACTGTCTGTATAAATCTGAATCTAGCAGGATTTAGCCATGACAACCTGTACACTGTCACCAATCTCAGTAGTGCCAGCCAGATTTTACTCAAGATCATCCTAATGCTAGTGACCCACAGGAGGAGCAGGAAGAGCTTGGAGACAGATGACAGGAAAGCTCAAGATTGCAGAACCTTCAACTTTTTCAATCCTCTGTCCATACATTTGGCTTTGCTTCTTCTTCTGCTCAGGCCAGTGCCCAAAACTGAATCTGTGAATCCTTCTTAACTAGGAGGGAGACAGATCAACTCTAGCAAATGATGGCCCTAGTTAATGGCCACACTGTTCTACATGCTTGGTGTGTATGATCTCCTGTAATCCTCACTTTAACCCTATGAGTGATCCAATCTTCTAGGTAGGAAAACTGGGGCAAAGAGAGGTTAAGTTATTTGCTCAAGGTTACTGCTATGGTTTGGATCTTAAATGTCCCCCAAAGGCCCAGGTGTTAACTTGTGGTCACCAGCCCGTGGTACTATTGGAAAGCGGTGGAACCTTCAAGGGACAGGGCCAAGTAGAAGAAAATCAGGTCACCAGGGGCATATCCTTGAGGGCCTATTGGGACCCTAGCCCTCCATGGCTCTCTTTGCTGCCCAGACACCATGAGGTAAACAAGCCTCCTTCGCCATGATGTTTCGCCTCACTGCAGGCCCAAAGCAATGGGGTCAAGGAATCGGGGACTGAACTTTGACCCAAATAAACCCTTCCCTCATTAAGTCATCTTCAGTATTTCTGTCGCAGCAACAGAAAGCTGACTAACACCATTACCAACTAGTAAGAGGCATAGTAGCCCTAGAGGATCATGCTCTGAACCACTACCCTGCTTCTTTCCACTTATTCTAGCCCTAGTAACGGAGCTCAATCAGGGAACAGATGATCCAAAGGACAAGAAAATCCAAAATACTCATGCATGTGAAGTCATGATAGGATGTGTTTGCAGCCACTTTTCTTCCTAATGATGATTTCCTGAAGCTAATATCAAGTGAAGCTACATTTTCTCAGCCCACCAGTCAGCAAGTGGAGGTTCAACAGCAACAGAACAGATTCTGGCCAGGGCAGTGGCTGGTCATCAGCCTGGTGGCTGCACATGTAGCCTTCCCTGGCATGGCCAGCACAGGGGCCCATCCGCTAAGCTCCCCGCCCCCCAGAGGCTGGGACTTGAAAGGAGAAATCCACCCAGTCTGAAAGATTTAGGAATGGTAAAGAAAAGACTTCCAGCTGTGCCAACCCCATGCCACTGGATGCCCTGTCCTGTGCAGCGGTGAGGAGTTGGACACTAAGAGGTTTGGTTTGCCACCTCAAGGAGAGCCCGGAAAATGTTTTTCCCAGCCCTGACTTCCCCACTGGAGAAAGAAGGGGTGACTAGTAGGACATGGCCCCAAGTCAAACTGATTTTGTAAAAGGAAAAGCGTCTGAGTTTTTTCCACCCTCCTTCCACTATTATACCCACAAACTACAATTACCAGGGGTTTCCAGCAAATGAGGAGGTGGGCAAGAACAGGAGAGAGAGAGAGAGAGAAAGAGAAGCAAGCTTACCCTTCATGCTTACCCTCCAGAGAGTGTAGAAAAAAATCCATTCTTCCCAGGCCTCACTCACATCGGGGTTTGGCCAGGTGTCACCTAGGACACCCTGTTGACCCAAGTGATGGATACGGGCTTTGTGTATGTGTTTGGGTACGGGACTGGTGGGAAGAAGCAGCTGCTGAAATAGCGGGGGGAGGAGGCTGACAAAGGAATGGAGACCTGAAAACTGGGTCCGAAAGCATCTCCAAGGTCCAGGTTGAGGACTGCTGGGCTGTGGAACAGAGGGATGGGGGGGGGGGCAAGGGGAAAAGCTGCCTCCTGAAGGGACTCTGTCCACCCTCCCAGTGCCCCTTCACCTTGCAGTCCAGCTGTGTGTGTCTCCTCGGGGCCGGGCCCAGAGGAATCTGGCAACAGCGGATGTGGTAGTTTTGACAGCCAGTGGAGTGTCACCAGGTATCTCGTCACAGAATACAGAAGTAAACCAAAAGCTGCAGCATCACAGCCCAGTAAGGGCGAGAGCAACCATGACACATTAACCCCAACAGAGCCCACCAAGCCAATGGGAGCTGTGAGGAGCGGGGTTGGGAGAGCTGTGACCCAGAAGGAAAGGATTGTCTGGTGCTCACTTCGGTCTGCACATATACAAAGAAATCCAAGGGCCAGGGATTTAGCTCAGTGGCACCGCACCTGCCTCACACATGCAAGGTCCTGAGTTTCATCCCCAGTACCAAAAAAAAAGAAAGAAATCCAAGACAGCCAGGCATGGCGGCACACGCCTGTAATCTCAGGACTCTGGGATCTTGAGGCAGGAGAATCACAAGTTCAAGCCCAGTCTGGGTAATTTAAAGACTTAGACCCTATCTCAAAAAATAAAAAGGGCTGGAGATGTAGCTCAGTGTGAAGACGCTGGGTTCTACCCACAGTACCACAGTACCAAATGAAAAGGAAAGACATTCAAGAGGAAGGGTGAGCAGGTGCAGAGCCTGGAGGTGGACAGGGTCGCTTCCCTTGTGCGGGTCGGCGGCCTTAGCATGTGTGTCTCTCTGGTTTCAGTGTCGCCTTTGCTGTCCACTCTGCCTTTCCTCCTTCCTCTCCCTGCTCTCAGAGATGTTGCAGACCGTGGCCAGCTCACCCCTTTTGTTTCAGGTCTCTCTGGTGAATGAAAGATTCTGGCTCACCCTCCTTGGTCAGGCACTGAGACTCTCACCCTTCCACCTCTCCCCCTGCCCCGCACCCCAATAACGTTTGGTTACCCTATCTTCTAGGTAGGCGCTGAACATCCCTGGATTCTGCTCTTGTTCCTGTTCCTCTCCCTTCTCCTCCCCAGCCTCCCACTTCCCTGCTGAACTAGCTCTGTCCACAAAGATGGCATTTGTATCCAGAGACAGTCCCCAGCATTTTCCAAAATCTACTTTTCAAACACACCCTCAAGTATAGTTTCTTTCTAGTCTTCACTCTTGCCCTCCTCGCCCTCCAAATCAGTGTTCTTCTGCCTTGTGAATATCTGAGAACCCAGGAGGGAGTTGCCTGCTTCCTGCTCAGAACAGGAGATTTGACTGGGCAAGAAAGGTCTCTGTCTGCCTCAAAGGTTCTGGTCAGTTCAGAAAAATTCTCTGAGAAGCCAAAAGGAAGCCCATGACTTCAAGCTGACCTGCACCTAGCCCATGCCCTGGCAACCTCTGCTCTCCAGTCTGCCTGTCCAGTCTCCCAAGGTGGTGTTTGTTTGCTTTTGGCAGAAATGCCTGGGAACCAAGAGACCCCTTTTCCTGGTGGCTTGACCTCCCACTCTAAGAATAACAGCCTCGGGCAGCCTATCTGGAAGTCCCTCTGCAAAGGGGCATGGCTGGGAAGGAGGGGGGTTAAGGGAGCTAGACAGAGCCAGGAGGAAATAGAAAAGCTTGGCCGTTTTGAGTAAAAACTAAAAGAGAGTTGGCAGTATTCGAGGGAGCTGAGGAGAGGCCTGGGAACTTCTTGGAGGAAACTGCTTTCCCACTCCCCCACCAACCTCTAGATTTCCATCTCCATGAGCTCAGAGAACAGGAAATGGTGGCCCTGCTGCATAAGTGTAGCCAACCCTATCTTGTCCCCATTGTGAAACATTGCCCCCAAACACAGGGACAAATGTCCTTTCAGAAAACTCTGCAGTACCAGGTCCTTTCTGCTCCACTCAGGGGGAACATGCCTGTCTTGTTGCTGGGGTTTCCTGAACTATAGCTCTCTCGGCCCCTACACCTCCCAGGGAAGCAAATGGTCCAGACCCGAGAACCTCTTGTGCTCTTCGTAATGCATCTGCCCATCCGGGAGGCCTGGGACCCTCTGGGGCACCTGGAGCCTGTTCCTTGTTTGGCCAGTGTACAAGTACCTAAAAAAGTCTTTCATGACCATGCATCCCTTTCCTTCTCCAACTACGATCTATAAAACCTGTAGCTACTGGAAAAATTGGTGAAGGCAGGACACTGGTCTTCGCTTCCTTTTCTAGAATCTCCCCTCCGTGGCTCTCATGCCTTCATTTCCTTTGGAAGAAGCCAGTGTCCCCATTCCCCTTTTCAGCCTAGTCCTGTCAAACCGGTGTCCAGGAAAGTCTTTGAAAACTTCACTCACTTTGAGTGGCATTTGCATTTCAGTGGCGCCTTCATCAAAATGATGATGTGGAGCAAGAGCCCCAGAAGGTGCTTACCAGACACCACCAACAGCACCACCTAGAGCCAGGCAGGCCACGACCAGACCGAGAGTGACCTTGACCCTGCCTCCTTTCAGTCAGGAAAGCCCTTACCAGGGCAGAACTGGCCTGGGCATGCCGGGACGTGACTAGCATAGGAGCAGGAGTTGGCCTGCTTCCATCTGCACAGAGCACAGCTTACTATAGATGCTGTTCTCATCAGCAGTCCTTTGCTTATCTATGAGCTCAGAACACCTGGCCACCCTTTTGGCCCACACTAATCGCTGCAGTTTGGGGGCCTTTTCCATTCCCAGTGTCACCCATAGGACCACAGCCTGGCACCTGTAAGGAGACGCAGCCCCCTGATGTTTCCATTCAAACTGGGGGTGTAGGGTCTGCTGGGATGTTGACTAAAAGAGACCCTAGCCACGTCCCTGCACCGCTGTGACTTGCAGGCCCTGCTGCTCCCACCCACTCTTGCCCCTTCTAGGAAGTAGAAGGGGCCTCTGGAAGGAGGGTGGAGAGGAGGGATGGAGCTGCAGGATGGAGATCACATGACCAGAGGGAGGTGGGGCAGTGAGACTGGCCTGGCCACCTCCCTGCTGGTCCCTTCCCTCCTGGGCTCCCAGGCTCCTGAGCAGAGCACGGTCACGTCACGAGGAACTCCCAACAGCACGACACAGAGGTGCCTGGACAGTGATTCTGAGGGTGGCATTGCTCTGTTCTTGTCTGTCTAATAATCCTTTTTAATCCCCGTCCTGCCTGCCCCTCCCTTATGTAGGGTTACTTTAGTGATCCCTGGAATGTTTTTGACTTCCTCATCGTGATTGGGAGCATAATTGATGTCATTCTCAGTGAGACTAATGTGAGTATTACTCTGCCCTCCCCAGGAAACCTCCTCCTTCCACCTCCTTTGCTTCCTCTGTTCCTCTCTCTTTCTCACTCTCTCTTTACCTCTTTTATGTTTGGTTTTTTAATTTCCTGTTTGACCCGCCTCCAGTCATGCTTTTTATTGAACCTGCCGTCGTCTTGTGGGGAAAAAAAGTGGGAGTTTGTCCTCCTTTTTTTCCACTTGTCCCAGCTCTACCCAGATGCACTGGGCCCAAGAGCATGGAGCTGAGTGGAGGGAGCAGGCGGTGCAGTCGGAGGCGCCACCCGGCCTCCCTCCCAGGTGGCCACAAGCCCGAGTCACCCTGGAACTAACACAGCTTTTGTCAGGCCTCTCCACCCTGCGAAAACCAGGTTGCCCAGGTTTGAGCCGCCAGAACTATAGAGTGGTAAGAGAGTATTTAATATGCCCACGTAACCTCTTTCTTTTCTCATTTTTTTCTCTTCTCTCCTTTCTTTCATGCCTTTTTTTTTTCATTTTCCCTCTTCCCTTTTGTTTTGTTTTTCTCCTTTGTTATTGGTTTTTTTTCCCCCTCTTCTCTCTCTCTTTTCCTCGGCTTTTCTGCCCCATGCAGCACTATTTCTGTGATGCATGGAATACATTTGACGCCTTGATTGTTGTGGGTAGCATTGTTGATATAGCAATCACCGAGGTAAACGTAAGTACATGGCGTCTGTGACCTAACTGTCCGTGCCTGCTCTAACATCCATTTGTCTCTCCCTCGTTTATTTTTGGCCTTCATTTTTATTTTCTCCTGCCCACCTCCTGATTTTTAATTTCATTTCTTGTTTGTTAAAGTTGGTTTAAAGAAATTTTTTGTTGCTTTGTTTTGAGGTGGTTTTTTTTCTTATTCTTTTTGGTTTGTTTGTTTTAACTTTCGGAACGCATTAGGACTTCCCTTTCCTTTTGAGTGTTGATTGCTGCATCTTTTTCTCTCTCCCTTACAATCAGCCTGGCATGACTCACACTGTATAGGAGGATGCAGCTCTGAGAATTACAGAGTGAGAAAATGAAGGGTTTTCTACAAACTCTGTGCAGCTTCAGGGGCTGGGACTCACACTTCTTCTAACCCCCACTTTTACCTCCATACTCCGTCCTCTCTCCCTCTGCCCTTCCATCCCCATAACACCTTGGGAAGGCGCTCCATGGGGAACAGCCCTGGTAGAGGCTGGGACTTTGCCTGCATCGGCAGCCATAGCCTTCCCTCTCCCAAGGAGCACCCGACTATCTCCATGTTGGATGGACTCTGTTTCAGTTTAACAGCAGCAGCCCATGTGGGGAGCCTACCCGTTTCAGGCCATTTGGGAGAGGAGAACCAATCATGTCCAAATGCTTGCTTGTACCCTTTCCTCCAGGAAAACTAAAGAGCCAGGTGGTTGGTTAATCTCCTGAGAACTCCCAGGCTCTTCTCCCATTTGCTTCGGAAGCAGGCTCCATGTGAATGCCTCACTCCCACAAGAACCCACTGCAGAGAACAGACAGTGCACCTGCCTCATCCCGCTCTCCGAAGCACCCCCTTTCCCAGCCCTGCCCTGGCCCCCTGGCCTCAGACAGAGCCCAGCCCCCAGACACAGGCCTTCTGCATCCTTCACCTCCCAAGAGCTGCCTCCTCCTATACAGTTCCTACCAGTTCCTGCACATGGCTTTTGTTACCTGGCATGTTTAATCTTCTCTCTTTATCTATAGGCAAGCCTTCTTGCAGTTAGTCTTTAACATTTGTTGTTTAATTTTTGTCATTATTTTTCCTTAATTAAGAGACTTGATAATGTTTGCATAAACCTTTGATGCATTGACTCATTGGATAATAGCACGGAACAGACGCTTTAGGGTTTTGATCTAAGCCCCCCCATCTCCCCCAAGCACGCTTACCCTGTCCTGGTCAGTTGAACTGATGCGTTATCTTATCAGCCAGACCCCTCCCCCTCCCTTGAGAAGCCCGTCTTCTCCCCTTCCACCAGTGGATTTTGGAAGGGGGCTGTTACATTTTGCAGACATTCCCACCCATAGCCTCTCATCCCCTCCCCGCTCACCTTACAGCTTCAGATTTAGTTGCCCCTCTGTTGCCAAGAACTGTGAGTTGTCTTTGTCTCAAGGGTGTGTGGGTGTGTGTGTGTGTGTGTGTGTGTGTGTGTGTACTCTGCCTTGACTTTTTCCAGTAAATACTCAGATCATTGAAAAAAACAACATTTCCTACAAATGCACTGACCTCCTCCCTTCCTGAATGGATTCCCAGTTTTGAAGGCTGGATGAGCCCTAAGTTGTGTCCCTGGTGCCCTTACAGCCCATGAGTTTAGAGACCAGAGTCTGTCCTTGGAGCTCCTGCCCTGAGTGGTCTACACTGTGGGAACCATGCAGATAGCACACGTGGGATGCAGACAGCAGCACAGGTCAGTACAGAGATCCATACAGAGGGACTCTAAGCCCATGCCAGGGAGACACAGGAAGGGCTGAAAGCTGCTGCCTGGGATAGCAAAGAGGACTCACTGTGGTCTAGGGCTCCTTTGTGCTCCTTTTTTCTTGATAAAGCCCACAGCATTCACCTGCCGTGTTATCTCAGATTGTTCCTGTTGTCAAAAAGAAAGGTGTGTGTACACACACACACACACACACACACATACACACACACACAGAGACACTATGACTAAGATATATGGTGAATGTTTAAATTTAAAACTTTTATTACAGTAAAAGATACATTGCCATTAATCCCCCTCAAAAAATTGTGTTCAAGCATCTCCCTCACTTTCAACACACTTATCCCATGGCTGAAGAAGTTTCCTCACTTTCTGAAGAAGTTCTGGAAGTCCTCTTTCATGAGTGTCTTTATGAGGTGTGAATGCTCCTGCCCAGTGCTAGCCAACAAAAGGCAGGCTCACAACAGCATTCTCATGATCCTCATCTTCCTTGCTCACTGTGTTTAGCACAGTACTACTTCTGGCTCTTCCCCAAAGTCAAAATGACCATGAAAGGTAAACTTTTTGAATCAACTTGGGACACAGGGCAACCAGGACAATGCACTAAGAGCACTAAAGTGCACTAAAGTCCTCAAGAAAGAGGACTCAGAACTGCTTCAGAAAGTGGCAAGAAGGACTGAGTTCGATCCCCGGTACCAAAAAAAACAAAAAAAGAAAGTGGCAAGAATGAGTAGACAAGTGTGTTTAAAGCAAGGGACTGGGGGAACGAATGGCAATCTGCCTTTTAATTTACACATTCACCGTATTTTTCAATCTCTCTCGTGTGTGTATGCACACACACACACACACACACACACACACATATATGTTCTAGGATATAAAATTGCTATTAGGAGGGCTGGGGATTTAGCTTAGTGGCTCCGCCACCTGTCTTGCAAGCTCAAGATCCCAAATTCAATCCCAGGTAACAACAACAAAAAGAATTGCTATAGGAAAAACGGCTATGTTGGGAGGAAGATGGGAGCCTGAAACCACCCAGCAGCCTCTTGCATTTGTACAACGGCTTCTTTTTTACAATTCACTGTTGAATATATCTCACTTAACTCTTAACTATCCTGTGAATTTGACAGCCAAAACAATCTCACCCCTAAGTTCCTGGTGCTAAAGGTAATGATGAAGAGATTAAGAATCTTTCTGGCCCCAAAGCTGAAGTGCAGGCTCCCTGGGGTGGTGGGTTCATCTAGACTTAGGTCAGAGTTCCTCCCAGTCCTAACCCCTGGTGTACTTTGATAAACATACAGATCTCACACATCACCATCTGGGCTACTCCTACCACCTAATACTTACTCCAAGTTTACTTTCTGTAATTCGTAGTTTAAGTGGGATTTAACCATAAAAGTGGGATTTTTTTTCTGAGTAAAAAAATCATTTGTCAGCCCATCCTTTGCATTCTGTAGCACGTCTGAGACACACTTCTCTCCTGCACATTGAGGAGCTTGGGTGTTTAAAGTCTCATGAAGAATTAATTGTCTGGAAGGAAGATGGCAAGGTGTCTGTGATCAGGAGCCAGAGTGGGTGTCTGGAGGCCCAGCACTTATTCTCCTGGACTTTTCTCTCCCACACAACCAGTGGCTTCTGAGCAAGTAGAACAAACAGAATGCCACCCAAAAATAAGGACTGGGCTTGAAGTTAGAAAACTGGAGAATTATTCAGTCTTACTTCTTCTGATACCCAAATGCCCTAAGACTGAACTTTCACTTCTGTCAAAGGAAAATGACACTTACACCAGTGGCTTTTGAAGCTTTCATTAGAGCATCTATTTAAAAGCTCTGTGTATGCCAGATATAGTGACACACACCTGTAAACCCAGCTACTTTGGAGGCTGAGGCAGGAAGATTGCAAGTTTAAGGCCAGCCCGGGCTACATATGAGATCTTATCTCAAAATAAAATTGAAAAGAGGGCTGGAAGTGTGCCCCAGGGGGAGAGCAAGGAGAGGCCTTGCCTAGCATGCAAGAGGCGCTGTTTTCAATCCTCAGTACTGCAAAAGAAAGTTTTAACAAAATAAAAGCTCTCAGTAAACTGCAGTATGGTGGAAGGGTAAAGGCATTGGCTCCCAAACAAATGACATCATCTGCCGCCGGGCTCATTTGGAGAGCCCGGTCTCTAACAAGACTGCCTCTTCAGTCGAATTACAGTTTAGCACTGACAGACATGTTAGAGCCATTGTTTCCAGGTGTGGTTGACTCACAGAGATGGCCAGGCCAGAGCTGGATCAGAGCAGCACAGGCTGCTGACCACTGCCCACGGTGCCAGAGCCTCAGTCGGCCTGCACCGCCTGCACGGTTCTGACACCCTGCACTCAAGTAGTCTGTAATGTTGTGATTGGCAAGTTGTGTGAGCAACGCCTCCTCCGCCCTTAAGCTTCTGCCTTTGCCTTTGGGAGCAGTTTATGGAGAGCTCCAGGATTTTCTTCCCAGGCGTGTGCGATCCTTCAGAAAACTGCATCCCTGAGTGGCAGCGTTTACTAGACATGCTATCATCACAAAACATGGATTCTCAGACATGTTCTAAATTCAGAAGGAATCCACACTTAGCTTCAGTGGAATCCAAGAGGGCTTTTCCGCTTTGACTCTTTAACCCTAAATTAATCAACTCCCATTCCCCTCCCCAGGTGCCTCTTCATCCTAACAACCCTCCAAATACTCCCCACATTTAAGCTCATCTTCCTGCCTGCCCTGCCTTCCCCTCTTGGGAAGCCAGTTTCCCCACTAATCTCAGAAGTCATCGTCCAGTCCTTCTGCAGTGTTTATGACCTCTCCTTCTATGTGGCAGGCAGTGTTTTAGGTACCTGGGATACACAGGAAGTCAAGACACGAGATCCTGCCCTCATGGGCTTGCATTCTAGACAGGAATAAACACACAGTGAGCAGTGAGTAAGAGAATAAGGAGATCATACAGTATGTTAGGAGATAATAAGTATTCTGGGAAAAAGAACAGTGCCAGGTCAGAGAAAGCAAGCACTGTTTTCAATGAGACGGGTTTTTGTAAGGAAGTGACATTTGAACAAAGGAGAGATATAAAGGAAGTGAAGAGTTATCCAGGCAGATATGTGACAAGGGAACTTTTAAGGCAGAGGGGTGACCAGTATAGCCAGTATAGACTGAACAAAGTGGGCAGAAGAGTGGCTCGGAGAGGCAATAGGGACCAGGCTTGAGGTTTTACTCGGAACAAGAAGGAAATGCA